TTAAAAATGCACTCGTGACTTGGCTGATTTTTTCTAAATGCTGGGTACATTATTTGAACTTTTGGCGGAGGAATGGGGTGCAGTAAACGAGCAAATTGAAAATTTAAATCACGTTAGTGGAAATTTTGATGAAGGAATTAACAAATCCGCCGGCATTCCCAATTACATGCTACATAAATTGATAATATATGCCCCCGCCTCTGTTCCGACGCAGTTTTCCTTTTCAACCGTGCACGAAAATTAGCGTGAAGAAGAATAGTAAGATTAAAATTACCATCTTTAAATTGAATTCAGCGTCGCATTGAGGTAGGGCTCGACATAATAAAAACTTCTGGGTAAATTTCGAACAAAGGCCCGTCGTCGAGGTATATCTTTTATGGTATGCTTTTATGCAAATATGTCGAATCAAAAGGGAATTTGTAACCGGGAAAATTCCCATTTCGGCTTCACGTACACAGATGAAATTTCTTCTACAATTTTTCACAAATAGTAGTGTACTTATTATATTGGAGTCCCCTTCGGTATTTATGGAAAATCCAAACAGTCAGCCGAACCAAAGCAAATAAGCGTTGTTGATTCTAATCTGATATTCACGTCATGCAGAAGATATGTAATAGGATTTTATTATCTCCATTTTTTTTTCGGAGTGAATACTAATGGAGTGGTAGAGATAACCAACACTCTATAATTGGAATGTAAACGAAAAAAAAAAAGAGTTTTTGCATGTTAATGCTTTGTATATAAAAAACAAACTTTTTATTGCATTGCATCTTAAAATGTAATCTCGTGTTTGTCATTAAAATAAATTGATAGTATTCCTAAGCGGTAATCTTCGTTTTGCAAACGAAAAATCAAACTCTACGATATTAATAATCGCTCTTGTCGTTTGCGACCCTTTCCTACAGGAACGATTTAAACGTTTCAAAGGATTCGTCCGCTTTGAACGAATGATTCATTAAGAATTTTAATTAAGAGTCGCGACTGACGGCTCGAAAGAAAACTAACCGGCCGATCGATAGTTGCATTCAAAGGCTACACAAACGGAAATTATACAGGTCGGCTTTTTTGCTTCTATGCAAACGCGCGCTCTCTAATAAGACGAGATTAAATTTCAAAACCTTTATTAAAATACAGATACCTACTGGAACAAAAATCATTTTAGACATGTAAATTTATTATGAAATTCGCTAGGGCTCGCTTAAGAGAACAAAACCCTTACTCATTTTCTTACTAACGTATAATTTTAATCAATTTCGACAATGCGACAGGAATAGCTGTAATTAAAATCGCCCAGATAATAATTACAGTCGTAACGTAGGCGTACATATCGATTTTTCAATTGAAAAGAAACCAACAATAATTGAACAAACATTGCGTAGGGATCCAGTAGGTATTACAAAGGGCCTATCGCTGACGAGACTCCGAAACAATAATTACATTTGACCATTATGCAGTTCATTAAAATGTTTACTTGTTTAATACAATGCCGATTCGAATATAAACCGAACGCATTCACTGCAACGAACAATAGTTTAAACGCGATGCTGTTAATTACGTCATACTTTCTGGTTCGGAAGCTAAGCTAATGTTTCGGAAGTTTATATCGCGTTATCTACGAGGACAAGTCTATATTTTAACGCTTGGATTCGCACCTAGTTAGACTAATTGACGATGACAATTTGTGATAATTGAAGCAATTGTACATACTATACTAGTCGATTTGATTGGGCATGAAGTAGCCATTAGTTTAATTGGGCAATTAGATTCCTTTTTCTAATTTTATTATAGCGCCTAATGGAAAAGTGTCTATACAAATATGAAGAAATTGCTCAAATGTTTGTTACTAATGGGAAATTTATCAAGATCTAGTGTAAACGTTTATCTCGGTTCGAGTGTGTTTCCTTGGAGGAAAAGCAAATAATGTTGCGAAAATAACCATGTTACATCTCAAAACAGAAGATGAATAGATCTCTGTAGAGCAAACATTGTTAATGGTTTTAAACGTTTTTAATTAATTCCTTAATTCTTGTTCATTAAATTTTGCAGTGCGATCCGAAAGAATGTTTCATTCGGATTCCCGGCAAGATAATGTTTTGGTAATGATACTTTTTTTCTTTCCGTAAGCGGCTTGTTCGATGAAAAATAGGCTTATATATATTTTTAGAAAGCGCTCGAAAAGCCTTTATATGACAAAGGGATCGAAATTCGTGCTTTGTAAAAAAATACAGAAAGAAACGAAACTCAAAACTCAAAGGCGGAAAAGAAAGGGAACGTGCGAATTCAAAGAGATGTACGAGGTTTGTTCAGAGTGCCCGGAGCACGGAAAAATTTTAAAATAATTGTTTAATCGCGCAACATTGCATTTTTTGGAAATTTAAAGAAACGAGAATTTCCCGACGCGACGTGCTATTTCTATTAAAACCTCCATTAATACGTCGAACTCCACTTCGGGAGCGCTAAATCGCGAAAGGGCCTCTTACGAGATTTATCCACCAGATATGTCGTTAACAGAGAAGTAGCAATAATTTTTCAACGGAACGGTTTTCCGCGAAAAGAAAATAAACACCTATCAACGCTTTTCTGGTAGATTTTATCTTTCGCGGACGTGAGAATAGCACTTGCGTTTATTTTTTCAGTGCATTATCCGCGGAGAACTTCTCGAGACGTTTTATCAACACAGAGAATGGGGCGAAAACGTCTGGAGGAAAAGCGAAAAAACACAAAAAGAAACGTGTTCGTTAACAACGGAGCGGAAATGAAAAGATCCGAATTGCGCTGATTTTATTAATGTCCTCTTGAAATGAAAATACCCCTCTCTTATTCCCAACACTGTAAAATTTTTACGTAAACGCACGATGTAATCCGGGTATTACAAAGGATTTCATCATAACAGTTACTGCATAATAGCCACAGTGCAATGTGGAGTGAAATAAAACAAACGCTCAGTATAAAGCGCAATTGCGGCATCTCGTTATCACTTCGAGTGTGAAAATCTAAATAATTAAATTTAATAAACAGCATCAAAGGGACCTCCATGGAAAGTAATGAAAATTTTAATGAAACGTACACGGTTAATACATTTGGCTGAAAGCCTGACGCGTTATATAAAAGTTTCGATATGTGTTTTTGATAACGACTCGTCACTGTAATGTCACCACATCGGTTTTAATTCCCATAATTTGACCCGTTAACACGCGTGAAATCGATGGATTTATCAATATTACCGTATATTTCCCGAACGAAATTTTTTTCGGAATTTTTTATAGAGGAAACTCCAAATACATTAGGGTCGCGAAAAACTTTTCCGCATCTCGGATAAATGGGAAAATCTTATTTTGATGCAGATACGCAACCAGAAAAAAACCAATACTTCCACATCTACTTCTCCCTGAGGTCGCATTTTATCTCCATTTACTTACGGCTCTTTTACTACATGATTTACGTTCATTTCCAAAATATACAGTGTTAACCCGAAAAAAATATCGTTGGGTAGCTCTATTCCATTATCAACAGTTGCCATCTTCCATTGGTTATCCACGTTTATTTCGTTCATTCCTCGATCTAACAGAACCCAAACACTAGCACGAGGATGAAATAAGTAATCGGATAAAGCTGCAGGACTTTCGGAAGTCCCTTTAAAATGTTTATTGACGATGGGCTTTATCTAATCGGATACAGTTCATTTGAAAATAAGGAAGAAAGAACCTAAAAATCCTCTTAGAAATTACAATAGATGCATAGGAGCAAGTGACCGTTTCGGATGCTTCATGGTAAATTTGAATGGGAATTTGGAAGGATAGGATTAAACCGTGGCATTAGAATGTCAAAGTTAATTTATTAGGAAGCTCCAATACCTGTAAACATGTTCATAGCGCAAAATAATCTTTATACGGGTATAGATAAAATTTATGAAACTATAGCAAGCTTTCAGTGGCGCGGAATTAATGGTTAATAAACGATTTTCGGATTTAGGGCCGAAACACATAAAACGTAGCCCATAATGAAGCTATAAAAAAATCACGCGTTTTTTTATTCGACGTAATAAGCGCCGAAAAGATAAATTAAAGTTTAGGTCGATCGGTGAGAATTTTACGTCGCTTTTAATACGAATCCGCGGTCGTATCAATTTTGATTTTGTCGTTAAACGAGAAGGCGCGAACGATCGTCCTGAAAATTCATTTCGATTTTACATTGTTTCCGCGATGAATGACTTTGTACGAAATCCGCATAAAAATGCAGTTTCTGAAGTTATCAGTTTCGCTCGAATGAAGCGTATAGTTAGTTCTTCCAATTATTGTTCCGGCATTTGCGATATTGCAATAGGAATTTGGTATCGTAAAAGCCGAGCAGAAAGAAAATCGACGAAGCCATGCCATTTCGCGGCGTAACTTCCTCAACAAGTTCGTAAAATCCCAATAGCTGGAAACAGGTAGAATTCGTAGGAAGTTATTACCATATAGCAAGATACCTGAAGACAGCCAATCTATCGATTGATTGTGTACATTTCAATTAAGGATAATTTTATGTAATCATTATAATGGAGTCAAGTAGGCAGATCATTTTTCTACATGTAGATTAACTTGATTGGGAAATTTCCAATTTATCTACTTAGTTGTTAAAATTTTCTAAAAATATACATAAAAAAATTAACGAGAGCTTTGAATGCAAACGAAGCGTTTATTCCTTTTCACCCCAAAGAATTATTCCCAACTCGCCAAGATATAATAAGAAAATCCCGCATTTTTCATCTAATTTTAATATCGAAAGTCGTTTTCACTCTATTGAATGTTTATTAAACTTCAGAGGGTGCTTCCGTTGTTCCAGATGTAAAAAAATACCTGTCGCTAAATCCACCAAAATGTAAGTATACTTGCTGATAAAAAAGTGTATTTAATAAAAATATTTTAATACAATATTAATGCCTCTGTCACAAATTTGTTGGATAAATTAGACCAAGTTCTCCAAACGTTGATTTATTTAAATATCAATAATGATTTTACCTTGAAATGAATAGCCTTCTGCAGGACGAAAAACGCATAACAAAAAGACACCCCAAAGGGCGCAAACCGTTAACCGGACCATCACTATATATTTTCGCATTTAAAGTTTCACTGCAACAGTATATCGCTCACATAACGAACGTTTTAATTCGAATAAGCCGCTGTAAAAAAACGCAAATCAACCGTTAACAAGTGGTTTTCGGCGAATTGTTTAGGCGTAAATTCGTGTTGAATTGACCGATGATTCAACGAGAGTTTAAAAGTTTGTTAAATTCGATTTTTGTTACAAGCGAACGCTGGGAGTTTTATTATTAGCTGAGAGTTTCGCGATGATTTCCAACGAAAAAATAAGTAAAGCGCCGTACAAGTTGCTCGCTAGAATTCCGGGAATAAACTGGAACAGTCTGCGTCCCGAAAGTCTGCGAACCCTTATTTTACAGCGTATAGAGGAGGTGTAAGGTACGGTCATGCGCGAGTTCGTTCCGAACCGGTCCATTTGTTTATGTCATTTTCGGTTTATTTATGGTGATTTTTCGTACTTTGATGTTATTTTTCTCCCCTTACAAAATGTATTGATCACACGGGATTACTTAGGCGAATATTTGAAGCTTGCTCTATGGATATAGGTATCTCCGTTAGACCGAAATTTTCAAATTATTTAAATTGACTAGTAGCAATTTTGGTGGAGTACTAATTTGAGAATCAATAATATTAATGCTTGATGTCATTTTCCTTTTTCTTGCAGAAAGTTTCGGAAAGGTCTACGTAATACACCCGAGGAGTTTTATTAGGCAGAACGAGAAGTAAGAAAGTCTAATTTATGTGGTTTTGTGAATGTATAGTGCCCCGTCAGTGTTTTCCTAGAGGAGGAAAGGGGAGATGGAAATTTATTGCAGGACGACTCCAGTACATGATTTTACCCGCATATGTACCTATAGGTATAAGTAAATTGTAGGAATACTGCAATTATATTAAAAGCTATGCAATCTAGGCAATTTTATCTCGATTGTTTGCATAGATTTCCGACGGGAAATTCGTATGAAAATGAATATTCACTTTACTCGATTTTTATTTCGAATATCAGATCTAATAACTTGAATCGTACATTTGATCTACATTTTTTTGGTTTTGGTCTTCCATATATGTAGGTATAAATGTGCCCTTTTTATTTAACGTTGTTATATCGATTTTACCATTATATCTTTTCGATCAGCTCGGTTTACTTAACGTGTTTACAGTTAAATACACTATAATAAAAGGTTGATATATAATATGTAGATAAGGTGAGAAATAAATCTATGCATGATTTTAAAAGAGAAAAAGTTTATTTTTAGCAATATTTTTGGCTGACAATTAAAGTGCAAAACGTTAAATTGTAATGTACTGCACATACTTTAATATCCTATGTTTATATTAAGACTTTTTTCTCATCATACACACATTCGTTATCTAAAGTATTTAAGTATTAGAACATCTCTACCTCATTTGCGCATCTTAATGCGATTTATAATTGCCAAGCTAGATTGGTTGAAGTAGGTATGTACACTCTAATGTCATTTTCTACCTACAGATATATTAAACTTACGTAATCGTATTAAACACTCAATGAACATTTCAATTATTTATATATGCACAAGGTTTTAAATATAGGAACGTTAACTAACATGCCATTAATCTAATTCGATTACCTAATTCAATTACGCTTCCATTTACTTAATCTGCTCGTTAATTGCACGAACTAATTTTTTTTCGTTCGTTCGTAATTACACCGAGCCATAAACTCGCATTAGAGAATCTTTCGTGATGAGAAATTATTAAAAGTTTTATACCGAAAACGCGAGAATAGCCTTATCGGATTACTATTAGAGTATCTAGTAATTAATAATTGAAAAATTAAAATTCCTGATGGATAAAAAAAATCAACTTACGTTTTGGATTGAATTAAATTTGTATTTTGTTTGATATACTGTTTACTTGTGTGTATATTTGTTGGTAGGATGTTCAGACAAATTTTTGGTGACTAAAAATCGTGGAATTTTATATAGCATACCTACCTACAGTTATGGAAGAAATGTATGATAATGCGCTTGGAATTATAAAATATTCAGAAAAAATTTTGTTCGGTAAATATTTTATGTACTTTTTATAATGAAATAGTACTAAATTTGTTTGTAAAAACAATGTTGGAAAAATAGAAATCCTATAATACTGTTGAATAAACCAATTTTATGAATACTAACAATAGTGTACTTTGGCAAGGGCAAATTGCTAATTAAATTAGAAATAAACTATTTTTAATATCGCATCTTGCAAAGATTATTGCACTTAGTGTTGCAACACGTATGTACGACATCGCTGCATTTAACATCTAAAACGCAATTATTTAGCAGGTACGACATGCAAGATTAAGCACTTGACATAATTAATATTTGATTGACAACACATCCGACATACTCCGATTTCACTAATTAAGTAAACCGAAATTAATTCTCATCGACAATTAGCAACTCGATTCTAACCGATCGATCACTCAAGGCTAACGAAATTTGGATGTTTGTCGTTATTTTTCCGAACATTCCTAGGGTTCATTTCACATCAAGCGAACAACCTGCGATTAATCCGAAAATCACACGCCTATCGTATTTACCAACCTCTTATCTTATCGCCAAACGAAATTACTCATTCAAGGTAAACACGACAAAATTTTAAGTAGTCGCATAGAAAACAATCGTCGAACGGAACAAACGCGACGCCGCCTCCCATTCAACCGTTCGAGGTATTAAAATAAATTTAATCGACATGCAGCCGACGGGCAATTAGTCGGTAATTATGCTCCAAATTCCGCGGTACGTGCTCGAAAAACTGCGGTGTTCCGCGTGCGGCGGCTACTTGAACACCAAGCCGCTCATGGTGCGAGCCGACGACCAGCAGCAAATGTGCGGCAAGTGCTACAGATTGTTGCCCGCCGAGGAGAAGGAAAAGTACGCGAGACAGGCGGGATTGGAGAGCGTCGCCGAGATCATCCAGTTTCCGTGCAGGTACAATTCGCAGGGGTGCGGCTACAGGTACACGTGGTGCGACGAGAAAGATCACGAGGCGAATTGTCCCTATCGAAGTCTAATTACGTTTCCGAGCGATGGGAGCGTTAATAAATCGAATCGTGTCAGTAACGAGTTGTTTTGCGAGTCGGATCAGATAAGAGCTAGTTTGTACTACGAGATAAAAGATAGGACGTATACTAACGAAACGAAAACGTTCGATTATACAATGAAATTAAAAGGTAATTGCGATAAAATGTTGTGTATCAAAAACACCAACAACAGTGATGAATTGAACGATATCGAAATAAACTTAAACGGGACTCTACTCATTGGAAACAAACCCGAATTGGTATTTTCGAATATCACTGTCAAACCAATACAATACACGAATTTATACGAATCGATAACTGAATACGATCGAAGGTGCTATCATTGCACCGACAGCTGCGATACATGCAACCAAAAAGACTCCAAATCTCTATGCAAAAATTACTCCAAGGGCTGCAAGGAAACTTTGCAATTCGACAACGCCCATCGACACGAAATCAACTGCGAGTACAACGATTACAAATGCATCTTGGAGCCGTGCAATTTGATCACCTCGCTGCCTCTTATCAAGCAGCACATCAAAACCGACCATCCCGATGCCATATTATCCAACGAAGCCAACAAAACATTCGGCAACAAAGATGAGACTTTCGTGATATACTCCTATGGCAACATATTCAAATGCTTCTATTACTATTTCAAGACTTTCGTGGAGTTTCACGTGATGCTTGTAGGCTCCAGCGACGAGGCCTCCAATTACTCCTTCGAGGTGAAGGTGAATTTAGACAGTGGTGTAGTGTCGAAGAAATCTAAATGCTCTACGTGGAATGACGCGATGCTGGAAAAAGGCGTCACGTTCGATAAGAAAGAGCTGCTGGGTGATAATGAAAAGAAACTGAACGTGAATGTGAATTTTAGGATTATTCGATTTTAATGACTAATTTTACAATGTGTCGTAACGTTTACTCATATTAACATTTTTGTGATTAATAAATTTTATTGCATTTATTCGATGTTAACAGCGTAAGCAATATTGCGATATTTCGCGTAGCAAGCGTTTATTTCCGTCTTGAATTCAATAAGTACGGGTACAACAAATAATTTCAAATGACCTTTAAAATATAATCGGTTTTGTAAATATTTTATCGCAGTTTATTCAACGATTTGACCCCGAATTACGTCGATAAACTCGAGTTACTCAACATTTTTATGGTAAATAAATCCCCATATATTGGAGAAGCGCTGCACAATTAAATTAAATCTCGTCGAAGAAGAAAGCGCACCCAAAAAAACTAATCTTCTCACGTGCCCCAATTCCGTTTACTCGACTTTTTAATCTCATTAGAGCAGATCTGCATCGGACTTCCATAACATCATTCCGCTCGAAACAAATGGATCCGAAAGTCGTTCCATTTTCTGAACCATTAGCCGGGCGAATTCTCGCGCCCGCGCCCGCCCGAATTCCACGGCATCGCCGCGCAAATAAAACTCGAGGAATTTTCCAAATCAAGTTTTATTTTAATACTGCGAATCGGACGTTAGCGTCTTTTCTAATAAGAAACGTGCCGGAAGGTCGAGTATCGGCGTTTCGCGTAAAATCAAAACAATCAGTAAGGATTTCGAACATGACTTTTATGTTATGCCTTTATTGTAATTACTTTATCACAAATTTTCTCACAAATCACAAATTGGAGATGGAATTATGACTGAACGGTTATTTGCACACATTTTAAGGTTTTCGGATAGCTCAGAATCTTTTAGAACCATTTTAGAACTGACTGGTACTACATATATGAATCAGTTCCAGCAAATTTATAATAATCGACTATCATTAAAAAATTGATCAATTTAAATGCTTAAATATCTAATAATAAGTAATAAATCACCCTGTAGATAAATATATTGTAATGTAGGTATCTGTATGCAACGGAGTCCATACAATACGCGGCAGTCTATCAGGAAAGCAACACGCTAAAAATCAGCCACGTTCGCTGCTCTCCTCGAACCGTCGGGCGTCGTCGTTGCAGGAAAATCAACGAAAGCCCGGAAAATTCTGGAAAGCCGGTGAGTGCGCCGAGCTTCGGAAATTTATCGGTTTGCAACACTCGAACCCTAAAACATACTAACGAGCGCGTATGAGACCGGAAAAAACTAAACGGTTCTTCGGTTCGACGGCTCAACCTCGAACGCATCCTGAATAGAAAGTTCAATCCTGTTTACCGGTTTTTTTCCTGTTTTGTTTGATGATATTCAAGTCATTGTTCGGTGGAAAACAAAAGGACGATGGATGCAGTGATTGCATGCCTGTTATACCGGGATTTTTCATCCTACCCATCGTTATCTTTACTCGTTTTCACTACCTCTATTTTCTTTCTAAAAGAGAAACTTTTGTAGGATGTGTAAGTAACAAAATTTATGTATCTACTTTTCTACGTTTTGCGTTAAAATTTACCAACCTTACAACTAGTCATAACAAATAACCATCAACCATTTTCTCCAACAAATCTCCCAAATTTCCTTTTCGCCAAACGATAATGAAAGGTCCTAATTCACTTCTTCCAGCGTTTCTGCGGTTCGAACTTCTCCAATACTCGTGTCAGCTGTTGCGTTATAAATAACATATTGACGTATATATCACAATGGAAATAAAAACCTTCGCTGGCCGGCGACACTTGGACAAACCGATGGAAAGCGAAACGCTCAAAGGGTTTTATGTGCATCCGAATGGGTTCTTAACTTTTCGCGGCACTCGGTAAAATATGTTCAAACCGACCGGCTTTTTCTCAGTCATTCACTTTTAACGAAAACGCTATCTCGTATCGTAGTAAAATCTAACGGCATTGCTCGAAGTTAATTGAACAAAGTTAATTCCATCGAGAGTCTGCTAATGACAGGGCAATTAAATATTTCTGGGTTTCCTTACAACTCCTATTACATCGAACTTGCTTTGTTTAAATTGTTCTCTAAACTTGTCGATATCAGTTAATTTCTGTTGCGTTTATTCTATTATTACTTGATTGATTAAAAAGAATGAATCTTTTTTTTATAAATGTAATGAGATTTCATAAATCCTAAAAATCTCCATTATGGTGCTAAGGAATCTTGCTAAATTGCATGAAAATGTTTACTCATCAAATTTAGCGACAAGCTTTTAATTTTGTATTAAGAGATTACTCCCCTTTCTCTGTTGTAATCTTACTTACCTAATTATCGTTAACCGTATAGCTTTCTCCTGTTGCAGCAGTAAAGAGAGCGATTTTTTCAATCCTTATCGCTTTTTTTGTTCTTCAAAAACGCCGGTTTACAAGCGGACGCTCCCGCGCATTATAAGCACCCTTTTTTCCCCTCTCGCTTTATTTTTTTCGACCAAGTTTTAATTGAAATTTAAACTTTTTTTCGCCGTCCCCGTTTCAGTCATTTCGAGATAAAAATCATGAATTATAGATATAATTCGAATCAGCGGTGGGATTCGACGACCGAGCGCGCCCAATTGAAAAAAAGGATTTGCCTAAATTGAATTTCGTAGTCACAAGCAGAAAAAAATGTGGCCCAAACTTACATTTATAATAACTTTAGTTGAATCAAATCCTGCAGACTTAAGGTAGATTAACTTATGGGTACATGAATACATACATACTTTTTGTATGAATATAATAAATATTATAAAAGCGATTCCTAAATGAATTGTTGGTGATAATAATTGTATTATTAGTAGTAATATTAGGTAGGTACATTAATGTTATAGATATTCTTTTATTAACAAAATGATTAATAACATAAGTCGTGATTTTTATTAAAAAGTTTTTTATTTATCACAAAACAAATTCGAAATGTTTGTACCACTGTATTGCTGCTGGGTCAGTCGTATTTCTATTGATATACTGCAGTTTCGTAAAATTGCCAAAATGTACAGCGGTTTTTCGATTTTACGAAATAGGCGCCTGGGATGTTAACCCTATGAGGCCAAGTTGTCAAGTGGAAGAAATTCCTTGTTAACATGAATATGCATAATTCACCTGCAAATTGATGCGCCGCGTTCAAGAACTGCTCAAAACACTAGACAATGCGCCGGTATCGGCACGGATTTTATTGGAAATTATCCGTATAAAGCAGTTTCAAATCGGTGTTAGTACTTGCTATAATTATCTTGAGGTAATCGATTTCGTCCAAACTCAAATCCCACCCGTTCAACTGGCCGATCTGTCTCAAATTCCTGCAGTGGCCCATCAACAATTCCACACTGATTACGGTTAGAGATCGCGCGCACGAAATCCACAATTCTTCCAGATTGTAGAAGTCGCATTCGGCGCACAATCGGAAAACATCACCGTCAGTCATCCTGATGATGGAGCCGATGACGACCTGCCTTAGAAACGGAGAATTCATCAATACCATTCTAACGACATCATCGGACATATCACAATACGTCAGGTCTACGTTGATGAGGCTCATGAAGTAAGTATCGGGATTCATGAATGTTAATTTCATGTGGTAACATTCTAAGATCTGAAGATTCGGCGCGAATAGGCATATTTGAGATAAATCTAAAGACTCCTTTTTACTGTGATTCAACTTGAGAACTTTAAGGCGATCTCCTGATAAGGTGATGAAAGACAGGAACTCCCGCAAGTCGCATTTGGTTAATTTTAGTATGTATAAATTTCGAAAAGTTGAGAGCTTTTCCAATACACCAGCTTCAGCCGCGTCTAAATGGATATTCTCCAAATCTGGAGATACTTTCACCATGCAATCCATGGTTTCGTTGGTAGTGCCGACGTCATGAAGGTATTTCAACCGTGTTTTCCGTTTCGGGTGCTTTTTGTGAAACACTAACAATGCGCTACCTGTATACGAATAAATTTTCAACGATATCAAATTAGGCAAATTCTCTATCAAATTAGCCACGAGTGCGGCTCCTGCGTCATCCTGCTGACAGACGTTCAATTTACCGAACATTCCGACTTCTAATACCTGCAAAGTGTCGCTTCTCAATCGCCTGATACCCTCTTCTAAAACACGAATTTATTTACTATATTATATCTGATAAAAATTCAATGCATTACCGACCTGTAAAACAAGCTTCACCGCTAATGTCCAACACGACGAGCTCTTCCAAAGTCAATATCGCCTCGATTACTGCATCGTCAGCCATGTGAGGAATAAGCAGCGTCCTCAAGCCCCTCAAGCTTCTCACGAGTTCGCTCAATAGATGGGGGAAGTCCCGCGCCCAGACGCCCTTCAAATTGAGATGTTGGATGCCGTTGCCGCGCGTCGCGATCGCCTCCAGTATTTTGGTGTAGTAGAATTGCGGGAACATGCCGACGTCCAGTTTTCTAACGTCCGTTCTGAGCAGCAGTTCCAAGCAGCTGAAGCGGATGTTCGCGTCCAAGTTCACCGAATCCAGTATAACTGCCAGCAGGTCCTGCAGGACTTCGAAAGTTACGGACGATACATACTCGGCGACGGGTGTAAAATTCGCACCTTCATCGTCCGATAATGCGTGTATGAGCTTGTTGGAGATGGTTCTTAAGCAAAGAGATTTTAGCGGGGGTACTAAATTTCTTGGGGACATTTTTCGTTTGTGTTTAATAATCGATTTTCAATTGTGGAAACAACCGAACAACAATAACAGACACAACACTACAATTGTTGGACTCGGTAATAAAATTCAAACGCTACTGGGTTATTTTTAGAGAGAGGCCAAGTGCTAGGTGGTTTCAGTGTAAATTTAGTCTGTATGTTGTTGTCACGCGCAATTATATTTATTTTGGTTTCTTTTTGGTACAATTTGGATTCATTAGCTACTTTCTTAGGTAAAAAAATCTCATTGCTTGTTTATTTAAAACATTCCTCAAAGCTTTTGTTGTTCAAATCTTCAATGTTTATTAAACCAGAAAAGCAAGAGCATCCCTATACAAATTATTTCAATTTCAAATTCAAAAAGAGCTCCGTTTCTTTCATACACAAAAAAATACAACGTGAAAAAAAAATCTTTTATTGGCCCTCCTTTTTAATTCGGGACCGCACAACAGACCGAGAATGAAAAATTCGACTATAAACCCCTAGCGGGTAATCATTAGAATCGTAATAAAGTCGCTTTTTACGATGGCCTCCTTTTATTGCCGCTAATAGTGTTATTTTTTGCGAATGGTTCGAACGGTTTTAATGATAAAAATTCACGAGCCCGCCAGACGTGCACATTGTAAGTACATTTATTTTTCGAATCCACTACAGGGCCGGATTTTATCAAATCGACTACTGACGTATCTATATTTATTTCAAATTCCAAATGGAATTGTAACTAATGCAATTTATAGATAAATTAATAAAAAAGGAAGTGTATTTACAGTATATGTATCTATAAAAATTAAATTTGCAGTTAGCTCCAGAGACCCTGTAAAATATATCGAATTTAAAGTTTAATTAAATTTATAAGTATAATTTAAAGTATATTACTAATGAATATTATTTTGTCAGTAAAATGAATTATTTTTGAAATTGATAGTATTCAAAGTTATTATGGTCAATTTATTGTTTTTTTATGTCATGCTATAAGCTACATTTACAGGTGTTATTTGAAAAATTGAGGTAAATTTTAGAGTACGTATCTGGTTAATTACAGTATGCCCGTCGATAGAAAAGTCCACTTTGATATACGGCAAAAGCTGTAATACATAAATATTGATACAGTTCGAAGTGAGCTTAAGTTAGATTATTTATTATTTTTGGGAGTTTCGCAAGAATACGGCAAAATTCGTAAATTACAACTAATTGCGCCCTCCTAAAAATTATTAATAAACCATCGAATCCGGTGGAAAAAAGTGGAGTTTTATTCGAATTCGGGCGCGGAGGAGACGAACTAAATTGGAGGAACCGGCCTTGCGGTCGTTTGGAGACTTATTAGAGCGCCCCGCTAACCGAACTTGCTCGTTTTCCTGCGACAACTTTTCACACAAACAAGCTGAATAATTCAATGCGTTGCGTCGTGCCCGGAACTTCCGCTTTTCCGAGTGTACCGGAAAAAAACGCGGAAAGTTCGGAGCGCTAAACGGTTTCGAAGGAAATTTATTATTCTTGGAAGTCTTAAAAAAATAATTTCATGCGTTTGGGGGAAGTATTCTTAGGAGCCTGACGTAAATTGATCTAATAAGTCTAGAATATTACGTACCTACCTTTTGTTTTAATTAAATTACAAATATATTATATGCTCGGTGTAGATTCTCTATATCCATTATTGGTAATTGAATCCGATTGGAAATTTGAGTTTCTCCAGCTCGAATTTCATAAATATATAGTGTTTATATGGCTATCGAAGCAGAGGAACATGCGTTAACAACAAAACGCTTCCATCAGAAACAGACCTTTAGCGAAGGCAAAGCTCGCACCGGCGGTTGGAAGCTTTGTAACCCTGTGGATGCGGGTCGGTGAGAGGGATGTTCATTTAATGTTTCTTTTGTTCTCTTAGGAGCACTCCTCGCGGATATATATATATTACCCCTCTGACATCTACTCGGGAATTAGCAAGTTAATTATTATTGTAAGTGACAGCTGGAGATTTGTAAGATGTCATAGGTGACGATTAATTTTCGTTAGTGTTCAGGATGTAATAATTTGTATTATCTATTATACATATTAGCTACTTAAACAATAATATACAAAAGGTATTTATAAAGTATAGGTTATTTGTTACAATTCCTACGAATGCGGTGTGTTTCACTCCATAATTCGAGATTTGGTCCAGGGATATGTTTACAATCAACTCGTGGGTTGCTACAAATTAATAGAATATTAGATATCAAGTGGAAATAGTAGAAAAACTTTACATTTTGGAAACTTGCAGGAAACCGTGCTTCTGCATTGTTTTTATCCCGACAGCATTATCGCAGAACAGCTTAGATATGCTGGCTTTTCTAATTTCACTCAGTTGTCTTTCTGTTAAACCGGATTGGCTGTTCTCGAACCATAACCGATCACTTTTCCTCGTTTTGTAGAATTGCTTCAACATAATGCAATTAAATGTCGGTCCTGCCATCGTACCTTCCTTGACTCTCTCCATCGTACCACCGACTAACAAATCTACGCTATTTGGATGGTCATACAATTCCTTCAAAAGCTTAACTTTCTGAAAAGGATATAAGTGTTTTAGTTTTAAGGCATAATTTTAATTACCGACTTTATATAGCGAGTAGGTACTATACTTTTGGTTCTATATGATCCAAAAAGTCGTCGAAGGTCTCAGCTTTTTTTAAACCGCACTTTTCCCTTATGTCATTGTAAGTAGCCAATCCGTGAATTCTGGATCTTTGGAGATCGATGCTTATAATGTCGGCACCCACCGGTTTGTTAGAAATAAATAGAAACGAAGACATCTTAAAAGTTAACATTGTACTCGTATCATTCCAAAATAAATTTATTTGTATAGGCTTACCTCTCTTCTGGTAAAAGTATCAGGCGCGATGGCCGGTTGGTTATTCATACCTCTGGTGATTCCGTTAAAGTTGTCGCGCTCTTCCAGCCAATGTGGTTTGTTGATGACGTCCCGAAGATTGGCGTTCCTGTACGGGCAGCCTTCTTCATTTACCAAGCTGCAAAAAACACAATTGTACATGCACTTCTATATTTCTCCTCATATCTTACTCTACATCTCCTTGGACCATGGTGTGGAACCTCCTCATACCTGCTTGAGCGTGTTCGTTATAAATATGCGGTCTAATATTTTCATCGTAATCGTTGATAAATCCCGGCTTTTTGTGTATAATATTGTTTTTCAACATGGTTTCTCTGCCGAGAAACAAAGGTAGTAACTCGTAGTAAGTAATATACTGGTGCTCAGCTATCGCAATCTGTCTAGCTGTTTGAAATAATTTTTCGTCGTTCCAATTGGGATTTAGGCTTTTCAACTTCGACGCCAGTCTATTATGCTCTCTGGCCCACATCAAGTGAATGATGGTTAATAGAGGATTTTGATCTACTCTCGAATCGCCTTAAAAACAATAAGAATAGATAAGAAAAGTTTGTAATATTACTAGTATCTGTTTACAGCATAAAACAGATACCGTAGTAAGTTGAAATAGACTACAATTTAAGCCTCCTATTTTGCTACATTTGAAAAGCAATTTAATGGATTGTGTAATTATTTACCGGTTCGATAACATCTATCAGTCGAAAGTGAAAAAAAGCACTCTAAGTGAGTTTTTGATTGAAGAAACCACTCTTGCCCATTCCTTATGTCCAATTTCAATTTACCATCCTTGTAAGCTCTCAATGTTTTGTGGATTTCCTCCGTCAGTCCGTATATTAAAGACAAATCCAGAAAGGCGTTGGTTTCGGTTAACTTAAAGTTTATTTATTTAGGAAATGAAGTTAAATCAATAGAGTGTATAGTATAGACTTATTTTTACTATTTTTACCTGCTCATCGTATTTCAAATTGGTTGAGCAATTAAAATCTTTATTCGTGTGCGATCTGGTAACAGCAATGCATGTGACGTTGTAGAGTTCGTAGCTTGGATCATTTTCTGGAATTTTAACGCTTCTGCATTGTTCAGGTTTTTCTTCTAGCCATTGTTGAGATGCTGAGCAACAGAGGCCTGTGTTTCCATCTGCACATGTGACAATATTTATTAGGGTGTAATTTCACTAATTATTAATTCTTGCCGTTATAGTTGTTACTTAAGTACCTACTGCTTTAGTAGATAACCCAGTCCATTAATAACAATGGTTTAAAAAGGGTTATTAGCGGCAATATTGAAACGGTTATGATTTTAGCGGTATCCTACGACTTACCGAGAAAAGCGAAACTCAAATCATGGGCTACGAATTGTCCTGTTTCGATCGCAGACATAGTTAGACGTTTCTCTGGTAAAGTATTGTCCTGATAAACCATTCGGGAAACTAGTCGAGCATTGGGTAAGTCGCTTCCGTTAACAGCTTTACGGATCGTACCGTCTGCAAATTAGTATTAAAGTTATTTGAGATGTAAGAGAGTCTGGTTTAACTTACCTGGTCCATATCTGGGTTGGGCGAATCTGTCGTACGTGGACTGAGGGGTGCCCCAATTGGGATTCTTTAAGTTAGTGCATTCTCCCGAGAGAGTCCTGTAGTTGGTGTTTACACATTTTGTTACAGTAACACCGCATTCATCATCGGTCAATATGAACGGCAAAAAAACCGTTAGGATAAAGTAGACAAAAATCATGCTTATCGCTCTATTCTAACCGCGTACTCGAAGTTTTTAACGTGAGTTCATGCTTTTTCGGAATATTGTCGATCTATAATTCCGGAATATTTATATATGATTTTGAGTGTTCGATAGCACTTCAGTGGCGTCTATTATGTGCAGATAGGTAAAAAAATATGCCACAATAAAAAAACTGTCGCTTATCAGTGTACCAACAAAATACTTAACGAATTGTTTGGTTTTATTATTTAAAAATAATTTTGTGACAATAAAATTGTGTTATCAATATAATGTACCTACTCGTAATATAATTTTTCAATTCACTGCAATTTTTACAATTACCCAAGTTCGTTAAATTTAAAGGTACTGTTTCAGAGACTTCCTTAACTACTT